AGAAGGTGGCAGCATGGAAGCTTCCGGCCTAATATGGCTTCCAAAGCTGACATCCTGATTTAAGATTAACTTAGTCTTCCATCCTTCTGAAATTGGTAAAATGAGGATCTAGATTGTTCGGGGCAATATGCTGATATTGTAAACCACCAAGATGAGTCATATAAAGCACTATGAACTGGTATATACATCTAAGTAGCTATTGTTACCTTAAACTGCTTTTGAAAGATGATCTAACATTTCAAATGATACAAATCTACATAATGCATTGTCAGAAGTGGTGTTACTTTGATTTATTTATTTTAATTATGTTGTCCAACTCAGAGTAACATAGGCGGACTTTATTGGTGTTTCTTAAACTTGGCAACTTTATGATGTATGGATTTCAACTCCTAAAATTCTTCAGCCAGTTGGTAGTCAGTTGGTAGTCATCAAACAGAATACAAGTAATCCAAATACTCAGAAGATATGCTCATTACTATGCTAAAATTACCCCTTCCCCGTATTTTTATTTTATTTTAGAAAAATAGTTATTAATTTGGCTAGATGTATCTATATACTTTGCTCTATTTCTTTTTGTTTTTTACACTGGTCACTAAGTGAAATATAACTGAACCATAACTGAAAGACGATTAAGGAACTGGAGGCTGAAACATATGAAATTTTTTACTACCGGTTCTATGGGTATGGCCATGGCAGGGGAAGGATACTGTAAAATCTCCATTCCTTTCCACTCCAGGGGAAAGTTACTGAAAAATCTCCATTTCCTCCCAATCAGCTGGGACTCGGGAAGCTCAGAATAGATGGGGGTGGGGCCAGTCAGAGGTGATATTTACCAGTTTGCCGAACTACTCAAAATTTCCGCTACCGGGTCTCCAGAACTGGTCAGAAGCTGCTGAAACCCACCTCTGAAGAAAGGTTGAAGGTTGAAAAAAGGACTAGGAGTGACATGATAGTAGTGTTCCAGATACAGTATTTGAGGGGCTTCTACAAAGAAGGGGGGGTCAACATGTTCTCCAAAGCACCTGAGGGCAGGGCAAGAAGAAAAATTCAGGCCATTTCCTGAACTAAGGAGAAATTTTCTGGAAACAAAAACAATTAATTAGTAGAATGGTTTGCCTCCAGAAGTTATAAGTATTCCATCACTGGAGGCTTTTAAGAAGAGATTGGCAGCCATCTGTCTGAAATGGTGTAGAATCTCCTCCTTGAACAGGGGATTGGACTAGAAGACTCCAAGGTCCCTTCCAACTCTGTTATTCTGTTAAAGTCCTATTCTACTTACATGGGATTACCCTTCCCGCAGTAACCCTATAAAATAAATTTGGCTGAAGAACTAGCTCAAAGCAGGGGTGAAATCCAGCAGGTTCTGGAGAACCGGTAGCAAAAATTTTGAGCAGTTCGGAGAACCGATAGTGGAAATTTTTAGTAGTATGGAGAACCAGCAAATACCACCTCTAGTTGGTCCCAGAGTGGGGTGGGAATGGAGAGTTTATAATATCCTTCCCCTGGAGTGGGGAGGGAATGAGGATTTTGCAGTATCCTTCCCCTGGAGTGAGGTGGGAATGGAAATTTCACAGTAACCTTCCCCTGCCATGCCCACCAAGCCACACCATGCCCACCAAGCCACGCCCACAGAACCGGTAGTAAAAAAAAAATTGGATTTCACCACTGGCTCAAAGTTATTAAGTGAGTTTCTGTGAACTTGAATCTTGGTCTCCAGTCCTAGGAAGAGAATTATTGTACCATACTGATATAAGGTAAAGTTTAGGGAATGCCTCTGAATTTAAAAATAATCATCTGAAGGTCTAGGCCTGAAAGATAAATAACCATTTTTAATTTAAAAATGTAGCTCAAAAATACAATATACTTTAATGTGGCATTGCTGATTAGCACAGAGAAAACTGTCTCTGATTGCCAAATATCAGCATTTCTTTCCCTTTTAATTTTGAATTATGCCTACTTAATTTCCATTATATCCAGTGTGAATAGAAGCTGTTGCAAAGAATGATCATTGCTCTGCATGAACCTGTTCGTCAGTCAGTGCTAAAATTAAAAACAAGTCAGGGGTATTGAAGACAATGCAGAACAGATGGAAATCTAACTTTTATTGCATTTAACTCATGAAGCAAATCATCTGGAATAATTTTATGACATAGGAAGTAGTACGGTCATATATTTTTCAGAATACAAGATGGCTTTCCTTGTAGCCACTGTTTCCTGTCCTCTATTTCAAATGCACTTGGGAAAGCACAACAAAATTTCACAAATATGTTTTTCCCTGATAAATTGCAACATGCATACCTAGCATGTGTCATTATTTATTTGATGCTATTGTTCATTTACTTGTACATTTTATCCATATACAAGTAAGAAGAGTGGAGTTAATAAGAAGAAAGACCCTTGCTTATAATGTATATTCTTCACAGAACAATCTGAAAAGAAATGAGTACTACATAAAAAAAAAAAAAAAAACTTTGGAAATGCAGATTTGATGTGCTGGATATACTGACGATGTGTGATGGAATGTGTACCTAGAAAAGGGGATCTTGGCAGCACCACAGTTTCCCAGGGAGGTGGCAGTATATTCCAGAGAAAAGTCCAGATTAATAGACTACACATTCCCAAAATGGATGGGGGGAGAAGGAAGAGGTTCAGAGTAGCTACACCCTAGAATCTCTCAGGGTCTAACTACCCTGTTTACCCCAAAATAAGACATCTCCTGATAATAAACCTAATCAGACTTTTGAGCGCATGGCAATAAGGCCAAGCACTTATTTCAGGGTTCAAAAAAATATAAGACAGGGTCTTATTTTCGGGAAAACATGGTAGTAGGATTAGAACACTATAGATTTAGATTAGCAAGATTCTATCTCCATTAGGTATAAAACAAGTAAAGAATTGGACTCAATTTGATTTCACTAAGTGTTTTTGGGTGTGGCCTGATATTATGCCTCCTTTTCGATGCTGTATATATCAAAACAAAAGCAAAAGTCTTCTCTAAATACTTTACCTTTCAGATAAAAACAAAAAAAATAGATTAAAATAAATATTAGTTCTGGACAGCGGTGGGTTTCACATTTTGTTACCACTGATTCACTGCATGCACACATGCACACTCGCTTCATGTACACGCATGCTTTCCGCGCATGTGCCCAGAGTTCTGTACATGCGCTTTGCTCGCACGCGCACCTTCTGCACATGCACCCAGCCTCAAAAACGTGCTTAAATAGGACAGCATAGAGCTGGGGCAGGTGGGCAAGCCCACCCACGATTAGAGCCGGGGCAGGTGGGCAAGCCCACCCACTGGTTCACCCGAACTGGTCTGAACCGGCTGAATACCACCTCTGGTTCAGGCACAATTAACATATGAATATTTCATCTTTTGTTTTTTTCAAATTAGGTTTAGTGAACCCTAAAATAGTCAGATATCCTGCCTCTAAAATATTCTAATTCTAGGATAGGTTCTACCTTCAAGGGATTTTTGTTGCTGTTCAGTCACTAAGTATTTTCACTCTTTCTTCATTCTGGGTTTCAAATTACAGATTCCAATCCTCTCCCAGCCACTTTCTTGCTACTCCTCTCCTACTAAAGCTCTTGCCACAAAGTTCTTTGTCTCCCTTCTCTTAATCTTTAGTTATTTTAATTTGCTGACTCACAGCTCTTCCCTCTGGGTTGCCACTTGCTTTGAGGATTCCCTCACAAATTGAGCTTCCTTCTTTCACCAAAAATCACGGACTTACTCTTTCTTTAGGCTCTTCTCTTCTATTACAGATTTGGAGTATTTTTACTCACTTCAATGACAGTCTGTTAAATATATTGTTACTTCCGAATTGTCTATGACTAGTCATGGCCTCGGGTCTGCCATCTCGCAATAGCAGATGCTTTCATGCCAGATTTAAGCGGTTTCCTTTCATTGCAGTGGGTGATCGCCTATCACCTCGCTACCCCCCCAGCTTCCCCTTAATTTTGCATGGCTCTCCAGGCTCTCCTCACCCCGAAGGGTCCCCAATTGTGAAAAAATCAGAGTTAAAGGACGGAAACCGTCCTCTTTCCTCTGCATTGCCACAACGTTGCCACCGGAAGCCTCAGTCGCTAAGTATTGTTAAACTCTTTGCAACCCCATGGACCCCCTGTCCTCCACTCTCCTGGAGTTTGCTTATCATTGAGTTGATGACACTATCTGACCCTCTCATTCTCTTCCATGCCATTCTCCTTTTGCCTTCAATCTTTCCCAACATCAGGGTCTTTTCCAAAGAGTCCTCTCTTCTCATTAGGTGACCAAAGTATTTGAGCTTCAGCTTCAGTACCTTTTCATTCATTGCAAAATGAAGAAGTGGGATTCAATGGCAAAGTCAATGGAGCTTTTTACTCTGAATTTTTATTTTTTTATTTTATTAAAAACTTGAAATTATTTTTCCATGATATAGCAATTTAGAATACTCAAATTCAGTCTCAAAAAGATAAATTAAAACAAAAACTGTAACTGCCATCTTAAAGATTTTCTGCATGAAAAAAGATAATTCTATGCTAGGGGGATTCAAAGTATTTGAGACTAAAACCTGTAGCACAATTATCTTATAGGTTTCAAATATGTAGTACGAGGAGAATACAGCTGTTAGATCCTATTCAACCAGGGTTTGTAAGGGATATATATTTTGGTTTCATAAGATCTCCTTCAGGCTAAGTCCGGAATGATATCAAATAAATCCTGAGTGCAAATTATTTATGTTAGTTATTGGCTAAAATTAATTTTTAACCCAAGTCATTTGACTGCTCTGACTCTTTAAGATAAATTCCAGCTTTTGGTGGAAATCACTTAATTGTGCCCTAAGGTATTGTGGAGTTTCATCTTATGCATTGATCTTAATGGGTTTTGAAGAGAGCATGCCATTCCTTAAGCAACATGACAGAAAATAACCTCAAAATTATTTCAGCCAGTCCAGCTTACTTTATCTGAGTGAAAAATAATAATAATCAGGGTTTGTTTGTTTGTTTGCTTTCAGGTTAACAGGATTTCATCTTCCTCCACCTGTGACCTCCACAAAATCTGTATTTTCATTACGATTAACCAGTGACTTTGCAGTGAGTGCTCATGGATTTAAAGTATATTATGAAGGTAAAGTAATATATTATAAATATGCATGTTAGAACTGCAATAGCTTATGTCAACATTCAATTTTGGAAAACAACTCAGTACTTATGAACCATAAGGGTGGACAAAGGAGGGCAAACTATAATAAAGGAAAACAAAGGCAACAATTTATATTACAATCATACAACTGATGTTGCACAGTCTGAGATCCTACAATAAGAGCATATTAATTCTATGTATTACTACTTAGATGTGTCTATGTGATAGCCAGCTGTTTTCCTTTTTCTTTTTAATTACCTCCACATTAGTCTAGCCCTTGGTGCTTATGTTTCTTCATCTTCCTTATATGAGACACACAGAGATCGTACTGTGAATGGGATAATCGTGTTCTGCTGTTTGATCAACCTGATTTACAGCAATTAGAGGCAACCAAGGGTGAAAATCAATGAAACTAATGCAAGGAATGCAACACTGTTGTAAAAAATACTAAAGAAAGACCATTGTTTCTCACAGGTTGATATACATATGCTGTATAATTAAAAAAAAATATTTAAAACACATTGACACTATGGAAAGAGTGCAAAGAAGAGCAATGAAGTTGATTAGGGGGCTGGAGGCTAAAACATATGAAGAATGGTTGGGTATGTCTAGTATGGTGAAAAGAAGGAAAAGAAGGTCTAGTCTAGTCTAGTCTAGTGACATAATAACAGTGTTCCAATATTTGAGAGGCTGCCACAAAGAAGAGGGACTCAACTTATTTTCCAAAGTATCAGAAGGTTAGAAAAGAAGCAACAAATGGAAACTAACTAAGGAAAGAACCAATCTAGAACTAAGGAGAAATTTCCTGACAGTTAGAACAATCAACCAGTGGAACAGTTTGCCTTCAAAAGGTGTGGTGTGCCATCACTGGAGGCTTTTAAGAAGAGACCAGACAGTCATTTGTCTGAAATAGTACAGGGCAGTGATGGCTAACCTTTTTGCCATTGCATGCCAGGAGTGTGGGGAGTGTGGGTAGGTCATTCATGTGCATGCCCACACCCATAATTCTATGCACCCCGCCCCCACACATGCACCCACTTCCCTCACTCCTGCCATGCAATGGCCCAGTGGACCCATTTTTCTCTCTCTCCAGGCTCCAGAGCCTTTCTAGGAACCTGGGGAGGGTGAAAACAACCTTCCCCACCAGAAGTTGGCAAATGGGCTGTTTCTGGTCTCTGCAGGGCCATGGAGGGTGGGGGTGGGTAAGGCCATTTTTGTCCTCCCCAGACTCCTAGAAAGGCTCTGGAGCCTGGGGAGAGAGAAAAACAGGCCTTACCCACCATCCCCCAAGGCTCTCCGGAGGCAGGAAACAGCCTGTTTCCCTACTTCTGGTGGGCCCAGAAGGCCCGAAAATCAGCTGGCTGGCAGACACATACGCGCTAGTGCTGAGCTCATGTGCTCACTGATATGGCTATGCATGTCACCTGTGGCACGTGTGCCATAGGTTCACCATCACGGGTATAGGGTCTCCTGCTTGTGCAGGGAGTATGACTAGAAGACCTCCAAGGTCCCTTCCAAGTCTAATGATGTTCTATGTTCTACTTCCTTCACAGTGACCTGAGCCTCTCAGATGAACCTATAGTGCAGGTTAGATTATTTTAGGATGGAATTATTTTTTTTCCCACTCTAATGAAATGAGCATTTCAGCTCATGTCAATCACTGTTTGCTTCACTTGAACTCAACAATAAGTAAAAAACAAAATAGTAGAAAATATCTGAAGTTGTATCAATCTCAATGGTTGAAATTGTGATGGGCTATGGAGCTTTCTCGTTCCTTTGCAATGTGTTTTTGGTTCATTTATTTCCTTGCAAGTTCTACGTTGTCACTCTTTTCAATGAAAAATGCTGTTTTATTACCTTTGGTTTCCTTCCATCTCTCTGATTATCTTTGAGTTCAGGATTGTACTTGACCCTATTTGAGCGTTACGGAACAAGGCTTTGTGCATTTTTTTCATCACTGGTGTTTCAGGATCCACTAATATTTGATTAAATTACAGAGAGATACTTAAGAGATAATTATACTCTAGAGAAATCAATGTAAATTGGGCCATTTTCCATGCCAGCTTCCAGTTTTGGCATCCTTTTATTGTGACAGCGCATGAGAGTTCTATCAGGGTGGCAACAACAAGCCAGAGTGAGTTTTTCTTCCTTTCTTTTCCTAACCAAGCATGACCAATAAAGGAAATTGATATATAGCTTAAAATAAGCTAATGAATATTCCATTGAAGGGAGAATATTGTAGCTCAGGGTTAAAATGAGGGATCTCTGAACTAAGAAACATCATCAGTGCTAGTGCTGATGATGTTACCTAGTTTGGATAATACCGTATTTTTCCATGTATAGATGCTACTTTTTCTTAAAAACATTTACTTGAAAATTGAGGTGCATCTTATACACAACAGGCCAAGGAGAAGGCCACAAATGTCAGATGAGCCTCTATCTCAGAGGTCTTCAAACTTGACAGCTTTAAGACTTGTGGATTTCAACTCCCAGGGAGTTGAAGTCCACAAGTCTTAAAGCTGCCAGGTTTGAGGATCCCTGTGAGTCTATCTTATATGCAGCTCTATCATTCATCTCTTATTGTAGTTGTTTCCTGTATCACATTGCCACTCTAGGTTTCATCTCTATTGTTCCTGTGATGCATTTCCTGTTCTTGTTGTATTACTCACTCTAACAAGATGGCTTCTTCATAGCGATGGCTTATAGTGTGCTTACTACAAGAAACTACATGAAACTTGGGGGCGTCTTATATATGGGGGCATCTTATAAGTGTTGTGGCCTGTATGCGGCCTGTGCAGCTAGTAGCTGATTCAGACAGTGAAGAGGTTGGTGTGGTGCTGCGCCAGCAGCCTGTGCAGCTGGCACTCAAGTCGGACAATGAGGAGGCTGGAGAAGATGTGGTGCCAGAGGTGGGGATTCAGCCAGGGCCTTCAGAACCTCCAGAAGCTCCCTTAAGTGAAGAGGACGAAGAGGAGGAGCCTCTTCTCAATGCACGGACGCGCAGAGCTGCCAAAAGGCAGGAGTGGCTCCTCGGGAGGAGGTTTCCTCAAGAGTAAGGCTTGGGAATAATTGACCACTCCCTTAGCCTATTTAAGGAGGAACGCCGACTGAAGCAATTTGCAGGGAACAACTTAGTTCACATACCTTCATGTCTTGTCTTGCTTATCTTATCAGCTTCCTGCAAATTGCTTCTCGGCATTCTGCCAACCATAGTAAGTTATTATTCTTTGAATTCTTGGCGACTGTTAATGCAATTAATTAACAGCCGTTGTTGTAAAAGACTGATTTATTCAGTAAAAGACTGGTTTATTCAGTAAATTAAGGTTTGAACGGACTTTGTGTGTGCTGCGTTCTTTGGGGTCTGTAACTGGGGCAGAACAATAGATGGAAAAATATGGCAAATGTCTGCAAGAAAGCAACCAAGCTCAGAGAACACCAATAACATTCCATTTCTCGTTTTCTGTTGCTTTGGTCCTGCGACGGGCTCCATTTCCCCTTATTTATCTCTTGCAAAAGAATTCCTTCAAGATATAACCAGAGAAGCATTAGGCTTGATTCAGAGAACCAAGAAGGCTGCCATGTTGCTTGGATGAGAGGAATCCAATTTATTTTTTCCAGCCAGCAATGCACAGTGACTGTAAAATGAAAATGGGATGAATTCCACATTGAGCTTTTGGAGAAAATATGATGAAGTTAAGAATAAATAATGATCTTCACTTATAAAAAGGAAGCTTTTCTGGTTAATAGAAGGACTGGAAATTGAGTAGGTGAGGGGCTTTGAATATTTAGGCGTTGTCTTCTAAGATTCAGGGTCAGGGAAAGCATCATGAATATGGTAGCACAAGCTCAAAAAAAAGTTTTTCAGCCATTTTAGGATTCTCCATAGAAAAAGAGGAGAAATTATCTCTACAGCTTTCAAATTATTCTCAGCCAAAACCTCTGGCTCAGCTGCTCCCAGCTAGGCCCATATCCAAATTACACACAGATGGAAATTGTACAAACCAAATTCATTAGAGCAGTGTTCCAAGCCCCAAAATGTATATCTAATACAATTCTGAGATTTGAAGCTGGTCAAATGAGAATTGAGGTCAGAGCATGGCTATTAATCTTTAATTACTTGCTTAAATGCCATTATTTTCCAGTTGGGCTGATTCCATCCATTTTTTTTTTTTGTCCAAATGAATTTGAATCGTCTTGAGACTCAAGCAAAAGATACAGATCTTCTATCTTGTGGTCTCTTCATTGACTCTCTATATCTTCTTCATTTCACTGAGTTATTAAAGTTATTAAAGAAAGGCACTTAGACATTGAAGCCCAAAATGAAAGAGGTCTCGTCCAAAATGTATCATGTCACAACTGGACTAGTGCAACTCTACATGTGGATATCCTTGAAGAGCATTTGGAAGCTTCAACTGGCACAGAGTGTGGCAGCACGGGCAGTTCTTTGGGTCCTTAGGATGGTCAATACTACACCACTGGTCCATATGCTGCACTGGGTGCCAGTCTGCTACTGGATGAAATTCAAGCTATTGGTTATTACCTTTAAAGCCCTGAGTGACATGGTTCCAGGTTACTTGAGGAATCATCTCATCTACAAGGACTGGATTGCCCCATCCACACTGGCACAGGAGGCATGCTCTGGGCCCTGTTGATTAAGGAAATCTGGCTGGCGGGGTCCAGGACAAAGGTGTTCTCTGCTGTAGCTCCTGCCCTTTGAAACAGCTTATCCCCTGAGGTGAGATTGGCTACCACCTTCTGACATTCCACAGAAGCCTGAAAACCTGGTTCTCCCAGATGGCTTGGGACCCAATAGGGGAGCATCACACTGCATGTGGTTGATAAATTGAGAGGCAATCCCATTTGTCTTCTACTCATCCTGTTCCCTCCCCATCTTTTAACTATAATTTTATTTTGATTGGGAATTTTTGTTGTTTTATAGTTATGTATTTGTTAGGATTTTAATGTTTTAATGCTGTAAACCACCT